ATAAAACAAAAAGAGTGGAATTTTTTCAACAAATAGAGAGTAAAAATAGAAGTGGAGAGAGAAACAGATAGAGAAAGTTTGAAAATTGTGTGAATTTGAATAAATAGAAAAAATAAATTACAAAAATTCAACAGATAAAAAAAGAGAAACATATAGAGAGAGAAAAGAGAGTTATAGAGAGAAACAGATAGAGAGAGAAAAGTTTGAAAATGGTGTAAATTTGAATAGATAGAAAAAATATATTATAAAATTTCAACAAATAACAAAAAAAAAATATAGGTTTAAAAAATTTGAACAAATAATTAAAAAGTTTGAACATATAGATATAAATTCGAACAAATAAAAAATAATTTGAACAGATAGTCAAAAAGAGTCCATGAATAAATTAAGGGATATAATTTAAAATAAAATTTACTTAAAAATAGACAAAAATACTTTTTACTAAACTATTTCACAAATGGTAGATTTCATACTAACAAAAAAATATCTACTGAACCTAATGTCTTATACCTTTCTTAGATTAAATTTTACAATAATTATCTCAATTTTTCTTTTTAAGTATCTATGTTAGGTAACAAATTGAAATTATAACTATAAAATCATGAATTAACTATGAACTCTTTTGACATCTAAAAAAAACTAATTTATTGACTTATTGCTTTATTTGGGTCATATCACCTCTATATTTTTATGCACATCATTTCATAACGAACCAAAAAAAAAAAGAAAAAAAGGAATGGTTTCCCACAAGTCCAATCACGGACTAGAGGGTACTATTAGGCCCGTGGGGGTCCGTTTCGATAATTCGAACCGTCAATATATAAAACTTGTCGAGTATTATATTCTTTGTCAGCAATCACGTTGATCGGATATCGATAACTATGTGATCAAATCAGTTTTGTATAAAAAAATGGACGGTGAAAAATAAACGGCTTACAAAAATTTGATTTGATCACATGGTTATCGATATCCGATCAACGTGATTTTTTACAGGCATATAGTACTCGACGATTTATATACATTGAACGATTTGTATTATCGAAACGGGACCTGTGGTGAACCCCCACGGGCCCAACAATACCCTCCAGATTGGATGGAGGAAGCCGTTTCCAAAAAAAAGTTTTAACTTATAAATCATACCCACAATAATCCTTAATAATCAAAATCCAATCATGAGTTGAGAATCAAATTAAAAATTATACGATTTGATTTGAATCAGATCAATTTAGAGCATCTCCAATGATTTACCATTAGAGTTGCCATTGCTATAATATAGTAGTTCTGTTGAAAAAAAGATGCTCCAATGGTTGAATATGGCAACTGCCAGATTTGAGAAATGCTAAAACTTGTGTCAAATTTGACACGCGCTTTAGGAGCTACTATTTGTGCCAACTCAGCCAAAACCAACTGTTTTCTTTCCTCCCAACAACTGTTCACCATTTATTTATTTATTTTTATCATAATTCACCAAATTATTTATATATATATTTTAATTTACCCAAAATCAGCATTTTTTTTAACAAAATCAACAACAATCAATAAATCACTATCAAACAAATCAAAAAATCTCAACAAAATCAACAATATTCAGTAAATCGATCTGCAGTTGTGAATCTTCAACACCACTCTCGAACAAGAAAAGTGAAGAAAAGGTACCTGAATCGATCTGCAAATGAACCGATCTGGTGGTCCTTAGTTCAAAATCGGCCTGCAAATGAATCGATCTTCAAATCGATCTGGTGGTCCTTTGTTTAATCTGCAAAGGTACCTGAATCGACTTCATTCCTCTAATTCTTCTCTCGTATCTCTCTCTTTCTCTCCATCGCCATAACCGTGGACTCCGACACCGACTCCTTTCTCATCTCCAATCGGTCCTCAATCGGTCCCTTTTTCATCCCCAATCGCCTTTTCGAAACCCCCAAACACCAACCCTAAATTCAAAGATAGAGAGAAGTAAGATAGGGTTTGATGGTAGTGTCTTGGAATGAGATACGATTTGGTGATTAAATTGAGGAATATAGAGAGAGAAGAGAGAGAGAGAGTGTTGGACCCATGGTAGTGTCTTGGAATGAGAGACATTTTGATAAGGTTTCATCTCAGTTGGTGGATGTATATAATCCAACGGTGATGGTACTGTTTGGGAATTTGTAATATGAGCCAACGGCTCTATTTTAATTTGGAAGTAAAAAAAACGGCTATTTTTCTAAACAGACAACACACCAACAACTATAAATTAAACGGCTAAAAAAAGGGTAATATTTTTATAGTAGTATAAATACACACACCTTGTTTCACCAATTTGAGTTCATAACAACAATTTTTCTTTTTAATTTTTCACACAATCAGTATGTAAGGTTCATCAAAAATAAATAGAGGAAAATCATTCACCACGCAAGAAGATATGTCAATTTGTAAAGCTTGGTGTCACATTACTGAAGACCCAATTGTTGAAAATTTGCAATTTCATGCTCATTTTTGGAGAAGAATTTTTGAAAATTATTGTTCATTGCAAAATGAGTACTTAAGAATATAAGTGTCTATCCTATCTCAATGGGGTGTAATCATAAAATGTTGCAACAAATTTCGTGAATATTTAGCGCAAGTCGAAAATCTACATCCAAGTGGGATGTCTCAAGTTGATATAGTAAGATTTTAGCTTCATTTATTATGTTAGTTTTTTTTTATTTTGTCTTGTATAAAAATTAATTAACTAATTAATTAATATAATATTTTATTGATACAGATGTTTCAAGCAAAACTGTTAGACCATAAAGATGAAAACAAACATTTTGCTTTTGAACATTGTTGACTGATCTTGCAAAACAATATCAGGTGGCAAGATGTAACTCCCGTAAACACGGTGAAATTAAGGATACATACACCGTTTTCCCCTGATTCAGCCCCCGATTCCCCTATGGATAACTGCATTTCTCTTGAAAATGACACCAGTCTAAGTGTTGGTAACAATCTAACTGTTGGTGAGGGTAGTGTCTCTGCAAATGGGTAAAAGCCTATGGGTAGGAAAGCTTCAAAAGAATTATTTCAAAGAAATCAAGTTGTTGAAGCTGAAGTCCAAAAAATGAGCATACAATTGAAGACATTTAACTAACACCTTACTGAGAAAGAAAAGAAAAAAAAATGAAAGAGAAGAAAAAAGGATTCAAGCACTGCAGGAGACGAAAGAACTTTAGATCAGAAGACAAGAACATGAGATAAAAAAGGAAGAACATTAGATAATGACTACGGACAATTCACATTTGGACTCTCAGATGAAAGCGTATTACACAATGTGAAAAAATGATATTTTTGCCAAGTGATCCGCATATGTCAGCAACCTAAATTACTATTTTCTCTTGCCTTCTTATGAATAATTACGGGAGAATGTATTTTTTTAATTTTGCAATGTCATTTATTTTTTAATGTAATTGTTTTAGTCTTTATTTGCAATGTCATTTTTATTTTGTAATGTAATGTAGTGGTCCATTATATTTAAATTTGTCTCCTATCTCCTGATAAATTTGTTTGTTTGTTTTTTTTTTTGTAATGATATATTTTTTAGTTGGGTGAATTATATTTAAATTATTTTTCTAATTTTTTAATTTTTTTTAATTTTTTATATTTGTTTAGTCGGAAATAATATAAATATATAATTCTTTTAGAAGCAATTAAAAAAATTGTCAAAAAAGACAAAAAAATAAAAAATAAACCCCCCCCAAAAAAAAAAAAAAAAAAAAAAACTAAAAACCTATATCCAAATAATATCTATAAACTTAGAGGGAAAGTTAGGCTAGGTTTGGCATATTCAAAAAAAGTCAAAAAATCAAAAAGTTAATATCCTATTTAAGTCACATCATCTTATTTAAGTTACATCACCTCTCTACCACATCACTTCAAACCCAACCCATATTTCATAAAAATTCAAAAAGTGCACTTATTTAGAACATCCCAAACAGCCTCTAGTTGAGATTTGTTAAAATAACAAGTGGCCATTGGAGCACTATTGCTATAATTTGGCAAAATAACACTATTTATAGCATTATTTTAGATACATTATACTTAGATATATCTAAATAGTAAAATATTTGTGAAAAAATATTTAGCACTATTTATTGCCAAATTATAGCATTATTTTAGATGCATTATACTTAGATGTATCTAAATAGTAAAATATTTGTGAACAAATATTTTAAAAAATTAATAAATACACAAAAATACGAAAAATATACTGAATTATATATATATTTTTAATTTTTTGGTATTTTACGTTTTTTAAAGATTTTTTTCACAAATAGTACACTTTTTAAGTGTATTTATGTTAGATAAATTTAAAAATTAAAAAAAATTACTTAAAATATTAAAAAAATTTATTAAAAACATTAAATAAGAAAAATAAAAAAATAAAACCCTCTAAAAATTATAACCAAAGAAGCTGAATGCTATTTTGACTTATTTTGGGAAGATAGTAAAAAATGATTTTTTGACTTTTAACTAAGGCCTCGTTTGGGAACAGGCTAATTTAATAACTTTTTGACTATTTCGTTAAAATATGAGTTAAAAAAAATAGTATGTTTGGGATGACTTTTTGAATTTTTACGAAAAGATGTGTAAAAAGTAGAAAGAAAAGAGAATTTTTGACTTTTTGGTATGAGTTGTTAGTTTTTTAGCTAATTTAGTAGCTTTTTGACTTTTTGGCTAAAAGTGATGGTTCCCAAACGAGGCCTAAGCTTTTGGCTTTTTTAGACAAATAATTTGAAAAGTTGATAAAAAGTGACTTTTGACTTTTTTAATTAATATTTGTTTATGATGTCAAATCATAATCAAATAACCAAACTATCCTTATTTAGTTTAAAATATTACAACTTCATCCATATAGGCTAAAAATCACCTTCCCAAATAAAAAAAAATTTAAAAAAATCAATTTTTAACTTTTGTTACAAATCAAAAAAAAATTGACTAAAACCCAACCTCCCAAAACAAGCGTTTATCAAACACCATTCGAGATGATCTTACCAGTTTTTGAATGTTTTTTCTGAGCCCTAAACTCGGTTCTTGTAAGTCGTAACTCTCTCTCTTCCTCTTCCTCTTCCTCTTCCTCGTCCTCTTCGCAGTACGAACTGGTTTGGCTGTGGCTGTAGCTGTAGCAGTAGCAGATACTCAGTGAACGCTCAAATGGCCTCTGAAAGCAAATCCAAGTCCAGCAGCAACAGTACCAATACCAATAAGAACACCACGAAGAGGAAGCAAAGATATCTCCCTTACAACGTCAGTTCTCTCTCTCTCTCTCTCTCTCCCTATATATATGCATTTGATTTTCCGATGCTAAAATCCAATTTCTTTTTAATTTTTCAGAGAAGTGTGAAGAAGGGTTCGTACCCATTACGCCCCGGAGTGCAGGGATTCTTCATCACCTGTGATGGTGGGAGGGAACGCCAAGCCTCTCATGAATCCATTAATGTTATCGATTCTGTATGACCTATTCTCTCACCTTTTCTCGTTTGTTTCTGTATTGCTATTAGTTAACCGTATGATCTTTTGTTGCTAGCTTTCCAAATTGGTTTGTTTTTAGGGCAAATTTCATTTTAACTCGTTTGACCCATGTGTGGATTACCCCTATTATTTGGAAATAATCACATAATAGTAAGTGTGAAACAGACATAATAGTAATTGTGAAACAGGTGTCAGGAAGTTTATGTGCCCATTTTCAAATGTTAAGGGTAAATTGCACATGGAGTAAAACACATGGGGTTAAAATGAATTTTGCTTCCAAAAAAAAAAAATGATGAAAATATCAAATGGTTTGCACAATGAGGTTACTTGTGTACAAGGGTATTTTAGTCTTTTTGCTTAAGCCGTTAACGGGCTTGATGGTACAGTTTAGCCTACAAACCACATGAGAGTTATGTGCACGTTGGCCATGTGTTAACATAAAACGCTAATACTCAGGTAAATTACATATTGGTACGTATTTTCCTAAACATGGTGCACTTTTGTTTCAAAATGGTAAATTTAGTGATCCGAAATGATTTCAAAAGTTTTTTCTAATATATTTCCTTAAATGTAACCTTCGGAGGAAAAAATCAAATACAATGAACTAAAATCTAAGGTGGCTTAAGTTTTGACAAGACAAAAATATCAAAACTGAATATATATATATATATATATATATTTTATTAGATGCCTAATAGTTAAAAGAAAATTACTTTAAAATTACCTTAAATTCTTAGTGTTATAGCTCGACTTTTTCGCGCCCTCCTTTCATAGAGTTCGAATTGGTCCTACAATTCGGACTCCTATCAGGGTTCTGAATCTAATCTCACAAAGTGCAATGTGAAACTGATAAACACCAAAGAGTCTAATCTGGCAAATTATTTTGGAAAATCAGATTTTAAATCAAATAATGCCAAAATTGTACTGCTTTGCCAGATTACAGAGTCACCACTTAAATATTTTATTTTAGAAAAATTTAGGAAACCTTGACTCGTGCCAAAGGCCACGTGGCCGTCATTACCAAAGTTGTCTCGGCTCGAGAACTTAGGTACGACAGGGGAAGGTTCTAAAATGAGCACCACCGTTCGCCCGATCAAAGATCGGCCTCTGCTATCATGATATGTTATTTTGTAAACATTATGTGTTCTTATTCCGATTATTAGCTAACTTTACTATGTGACGCACACAAGCAAGTATAGACTAAAATCGCAAGAATTGGAACATTTCAGCTCATGTTTGTTTTTAAAAATGGTTTGAATTTGCCACCCTCAACTGGGCTAAAACGTGGATTTGCTACCTCAAGTGGGCTTAAAACATGATTTGTCATTTTGCAAAGTGGGCTTAAAACTCACATTCGTTGAACTATTCCAATTAAAGTAACAAAGCCTTCATCTACAGGTATTCATGCAGTTTAGCATTTAAGCACATAACCTCATGGAAAGCATGCAAAACATGACAATATGGCAATCACACTCATGCAAGTATGCTAAAGCGTAAAAACTTACCGAGTCCTCCAAGCCAAAACAAAAGCTAGTTAGAAAGATGCATGATCCTAACTATACAAGATGCCTAATGCAACATATGCAATAATGCAACTAAATAGGCTGACTCGTGCCAAAGGCCACGTGGCCGTCATTATCAAAGTTGTCTCGGCTCGAGAACTTAGGTACGACAGGGGAAGGTTCTGAAATGAGCACCATCGTTCGCCCGATCAAAGATCGGCCTCTGCTATATGATATGTTATTTTGTAAACATTATGCGTTCTTATTCCGATTATTAGCTAACTTTACTATGTGACACACACAAGCAAGTATAGACTAAAATCGCAAGAATTGGAACATTTCAGCTCATGTTTGCTTTTAAAAATGGTTTGAATTTGCCACCCTCAACTGGGCTAAAACGTGGATTTGCTACCTCAAGTGGGCTTAAAACATGATTTGTCATTTTGCAAAGTGGGCTTAAAACTCACATTCGTTGAACTATTCCAATTAAAGTAACAAAGCCTTCATCTACAGGTATTCATGCAGTTTAGCATTTAAGCACATAACCTCATGGAAAGCATGCAAAACATGATAATATGGCAATCACACTCATGCAAGTATGCTAAAGCGTAAAAACTTACCGAGTCCTCCAAGCCAAAACAAAAGCTAGTTAGAAAGATGCATGATCCTAACTATACAAGATGCCTAATGCAACATATGCAATAATGCAACTAAATAGGCTTGGCTGCCTAATCATGGAATTTGCAACACTTTGATAGCATGCTTTGAAACACGTATTCAAAGAAGTATTGAAATTGACAATGCAGTTTGAATGATGCGCCGAGCCTCGGTGCATGCATGACAAATGAATGATGCAAACATGCAAGCATAAGGTATGCTAATTGAAACATGTCCCTAATCTAACCATTGAAAGCGAATAAATAAAAAGGAGAAAGACGTAGGGTTGGAAGACATGCACACACACGCACCCTTATTATAACATTGCGCCCTCACGAAGGAGGGTCCGAATGAATAAGCGCTAACTAGCTACGCTAATTAAGTTAATTATTACAATACGAAACTAATTAACTATTCTAGCTAATTGTTACAACAATTGAAATAAATTAACTAACTATTCTAAGCTAGCTAAAATATTACAAAACAAATTAAGCTAATTAATTACAACAATTGTATGAATGAAATAGCTAACTTATTCTAAGTTAACAAAAGCGACTAAATGGCCTCGAGGGCTAGGGATGCATGCATACTTGGTTGTTTCGCCCGAAAATGCAATTTCCTTGCTATCGGATGCCTCTGTTTGCACTCGTTTTGATCACTGAAAATTATACCAACTCCCAGAATGCCTCTGCTCCAACTCAGGAGCACATTTGTGCAAAAATTGACTGGTGGCCGGTCGGCTACAAAAAGTGGTTGTCGGCTACCTCAACTGGCCTATCGGTCACTCCAAGTGGTCGTTGGCCACTAAAGCTGGCCGGTCGGCCACCACATCCTTGGACTTCTCCTTTTGCTGCAACAGAGAGCAAACAGAGGCAAAGCAATGTATTTTCAAGGAATGTGTGTACTGTTGCCCTTTTTATCATCGCACAAACTCAAAGGAGGGTAACTCTTGGCCTTCAAACCATCAATCAAGCATTTTCAATGCATGATGGCTAGAGAGCCAAGTTTGTACAAGCTTAATCAGTGCACAAATAAGACTCAACGGACCACCACCCTATCATGCATGATCAAGGGTGACGGTGACTAAGAAAAGTGGCACGTTCATCACTTTGAGTATGAAACGTCCCAATTTTCTCGTGTTCGGATTAACGTCCGATCCAAACACATTCAATGCAACGTAAAGATGCTTAATCTTGCCTCTTTTACTTCGTTCATTTTATTTACTCATTTTAGATTACCAATCCATTCTTTAATTGGTTAGTCCAAAGGTAAATGTCCTCTAATGGAAGGAGAGCTTAAACCACAAGTACCTTGAGCATGAAAGAGGCCTCATGCTGTTGGTAATGAACTCCTGAAGGAATTAAACCATTAGGCCTGAGGGCCTCAATTCCACACTCAAGCTAACAAGGGGTTCGAAGTCACTTTCAAAACAAATGAAAGAGTGAAGAATAGAGGGAGATTACAAAGATTTCAATGCTGAAATAGAGTGCAAAATGACACTAAATCATGCAAGTAACTCATGCAAGTTATACTAAAAAGCCTAACACCTTAAGCTAGTGAAAGAGGTTGCACCACAACCACACAATACAAGCCTCAAAGGGCCAAACCAGCTCAAAACAGAGCTAAGACCAGTCAAAACAGTGACTAAATCATGCTGAGATTAAGGTACAAAGTGCTAGAAAAACATGCTCACGTGTTAGCTTGCAAATAAGACTCAAGAGCAACTCTTAAAAGTAATGAAAGAGTGAAACAAATGAGCATGTGGCAGAGCTATATATGCTGAAATTACATGTAAAAAGAAACTACAACATGCAACCAACTCAAGTAAAGCATCTTTAATGGCCTAAAACACCAAACTAGTGAAGCCATTTGCACTACAACTATGCAAAATAAGACTCATATAACCAAAACAGCCCAAAACAGAGCTAAATCATTCCAAATCAGAGGCAAACATATGCTAGAAATAAGTTAAGATAGGCTACAAAAACATGCTACCATGTGATGCTAACTAGGCATGCAAGTGAGACACAAGGAGGGGAGGCTAACCTCTCCTATTTTGGACTTCAAAATATGCTTTCCACCACTGAAATAACTCTGAATTTCAGTGGTTTAAAGGTCCAAAAAGTTTGATTTGAAAGCCCTGAAAGATGGTACAAAAAGCTTCACAATTAGGCAACAAGAAGGGTAGACTACCCCTTTATGCAAAATGACCTCAAACCATCATGTTTAGGCCCAAAAATTAGAGGTTTTTTGTAGTTAAAAACTAGGCCAAAAACAGTATAAAAATATGGCAAAGCAAGTAATTAAAACAAAGTCTACAAGGTAAGTCCTATACCTGTTAAAGCACAGCACAAAACAGCCACACTTTTAGGCTCAAACCTCCTTCCAAAAACTCAAATTAGGCTCCAAGGTACCTTAGCTCCAAGATGGTCAAATATGGTTAAGGGTTAGTGTGCAAAGGTGTAGAGAAAATCAACTATCAAGCACAAAGTAAGAAGAGAGAGAGAATTCTAGAGAGAGAGAGAATTTTGATCCAAAAAATCTAACCTCCCCAAATGGGGGAGAGCATCCCCTATATATAGAAAATCAAGCTTAGAGCTTGTATTCATCCCTCCATACACGTGTATGGAGATGGACTTCAGTGAGTAACAGCTGGCATAGATGGCAAACAAATATCTGAAAAAGGAGACAAATGGCCGTCGGCCACTCTAAGTAGCCGATCGGCCACTTCAAGTAGTCGACAAGAACAAAAAGTGGCCGACAAGGCCCCTTCCAGGCAAGAGGCAATAAGGTTTGGCCAAAAAACAAGCACAAAACAAA